TCACAGCTCCACTTCAGGCTTTTTAGTGATCAATCTGAGATATGATTCTTAAAGAACTGGGCTGGCTTTGAACCACAATCTGCAGGGCTCAGCCTCCTGTGTAGCTAGGATAATAGGCATGAGCCACCAGAGCCCAGCTTTGCTTCTGTTTTTGAGATATAATTTGTTTGCTGCCATCAAGAAAGCCTTTTCCTATTATTTAGATTTCATCCTCCCTTTCCCTTTTCTTCAAGGAGGAACTAAAATCTTCCTGGGTACCTGGGGGAAAATATTGTACAAGTAGCATTTGCTACATCTTGGGAGTCCTTGCTTCAGTAGCATTGACTCTCTGAGTGAGCAAATTCCAATCTAGATACTCTAGTTTCTCACTTGCTAGGTGAATGTTTGCTCTTTCTCAGCCTTTGGCTTCTCATCTGTAACATGGTGATAATGGTACCTACCTACTTCAATAGGTTACATGGGGATTAATTGAAATGCATGCATGTATGTGCCTAACATGTAGGAAAAAGGAAGACTGTATCTTCCCCTCCATGAAGCCCCTTGTCTTCCACCCAGGTTAAGAATATTTACACAGTCCTAAAATAGAGTTATCTATGTATTTAGGATGTCTGGGTCTTTGATAGTAGAATCTCTGGAGGTCATAGCCTTGCTTTTAGCTTAACATACAGATCAGTGGAAGCCTGTTGGGCCAATGCCTGGTTGCCATCTTGTTCCATGATAGTAACTAAACTTCCAACCTTTTTCGTATCCCCAGTCTAACACAAGAAAGGGAGCACGGGCTGGGAAGGTAGCTCAGTGGTAGAGCGCTTGCCTTGCATGCTCGAGGCCCTGGGTTCGATTCCTCAGCACCACATAAGCAAAAAGTAAAAAGCCGGAAGTGGCGCTGTGGCTCAAGTGGTAGAGTGCTAGCCTTGAGCTGAAAAGCTGAGGGACAGCGCCCAGGCCCAGAGTTCAGGCCCCATGACCGGACAAAAAAAAAAAAAAAAAAAAAAAAAAGAAAGGGAGCAAAGCAGAGAAAAAAAATCACATAATGTCAGAATGACTTGGGTTGGAATCCCAGTAGAACTTTAAAATCTGGTTCAATAACTGAAAAGATGCATGACCTTGACCAAGAATAGTTAGCTTCTGCCTGTAACCTCAGGTACTTGGAAGGTAGAGACAGGGAGGCTCACAGTCCAAGAACATCCCAGGCAGTAAGTTAGAGAGATCTTTACCTCAACCAATGTGCTGGATGTAGTCCATGCTGATAATCTCAGATACAGGAAACAGGAGGATCCTTTGTGAGGCTATCCCCTAGGCAAAACCATCACAAGATCCTATCTGACAAATAAAACAAAAAGGTGGGGGGCTGGGAAGGTGGCTCAGTGGTAGAGTGCTTGCCTTGCATGCATGAGGCCCTGGGTTCGATTCCTCAGCACCACATAAGCAAAAAGAAAAAAGCCAGAAATGGCACTGTGGCTCAAGTGGTAGAATGCTAGCCTTGAGCTGAAGAGCTGAGGGACAGTGCCCACGCCCAGAATTCAGGCCCCACGACTGGATCCCTCTCCCCCCAAAAAAGGTGGGGTGTGGCTCAAGTGTGTGCCAGCCTAGCAAGTACAAGGAGCTGAGTTCAAATCCTAGTACTGTCAAAAAAGAAAGATTCATGACCTTAAACAAGTTACTTTCACGTCTCAGTTTCAGTAAATTGCCAGTTTTACAAAGCTGCCATAAAGATTCACTATGTAAAAAGTACCTGTGTTGATTACATGGAAAGACAAATGATAGTATACTAACAAATGAGAGTACTATATTTATTTTTAAATGAATTTGCTTATTTGATGCTGACATATGATTGTGTAGAGTACAACATTCACAACCGTGTGTTTCAGCCCTACTACCTCTCCACTGAAGCTTTTGCTGTCTTCTCTTTATGTTACCAGCTCAGCCTACACTACTAGTGATAAAGATCAATATTAAGCAGGAAGCTGAGCGTAGTAGTATTTGAAGCAGGGGAAGAATAGAGAGTTTGAGATCAGTCAAAGGTTTTTGTGGTTTGGTTTTGTTTATTTTTTGTTTTCTGAGATAGGCTCTTATTATGTAATCCAGGCTGATCTTGCAGTCCTCCTACCACTACCTCCTGAATGCCAGGATTACAGGTATACACAACCATCCCCAGGTAGTGGACTATCTTTTGTCCCGTGTATTTACCTTTCTGCTTGGGAGACTGCCTTATTTGCTGTAACGGTGAGATAGATTTTAGGAATTGGCAGGTTAGTCCATCCTCAACACACTCTCTCTCTCTCTCTCTCTCTCTCTCTCTCTCTCTCTCTCTCTGCTACTCTTCCTGGCAATTCTCACAACTTTATTTTTTCCTATGAAATTTAGAATAATGTTCCCAAATGCAATCTGTTGACAATTTTATTGAGTTTTCATTAAGTTTATAGATTATTTTAGGTACAGTTGACGTCTTTACAATAGTGAATTATCCTTGCTAGGAAAGTGTATGTCATATCATTTATGTACATCTTGTTTTATGTCCCTCAATAGGATTTAAAATTTTTCTACATATAAAACCTGTATATTTCTTATTTAAACTTATTGCTAAGCATCTTATCTTTTTTACTTTCTGTAGTAAATGAGATCTTTCCCTCCATTATACTTTCTGCTTATTGCTTGGACAGGAAGGTTGTTGGTTTCTATTTACTAATATTATACTGAAACCTTGTTGTATTTTTCTATTGTTAGTCTTCGGAGATATCTAAATACACAAACAGAATATTCTCCAATATTTGCATATTTATCACATCAAGTTGAATATCTAGAATTTTGAAGCAGTATTCACCACTATGAAGAAAGTAGAAACTTGTGTCCTGTTCCCAATTTCCACTGGTTTACCATTAAGTATGTTGCAAGCATTGGTGGCTTATGCCTGAGACTGAGATCTGAGGATTGTGGCTAGAAGCTAGCTCAGGCAGGAAAGACCATGAGAATCTTATCTTCAGTTAACCAACAAAAAGCTGCAAGTGGAACTGTGGCTCAAGTAGTAAAGCTCCAATCTTGAGTGCAAAAGCTTAGGGACAGTGCCCAGGTCCTGAATTAAAGCCCCAGTACTGGCAAAAAAAAAATTATAAAAACAGTCCTGTGTTCATTGTGGCTATTGATGATAATTAAAGCCCTGGAATTTCCTGTCACTTGGCAGGACTTAGCATGATGTTTGTTGTACACAGGCTGTAGCAGAGAACTAGATCCATTCCCTTGGATGCTTAACTCTTTATATTCAAAAACTGAGAAGATATCTTCTACCTTTGGTGACTTTTTATTAGGCAGAAATTTGACATTTTATGCATGTGCAAAAACTTACATTTTTCCCTTGGAAACTTTGTTTCATTACTTATAACATTCTTTTTTTGGGGGGGTGGTCAGTCGTGGGGCTTGAACTCTGGGCCTGGGTGCTGTCCCTCAGCTCTTCAGCTCAAGGCAAGTGCTCTACCACTTGAGCCACAGTGCCTCTTCTGGTTTTCTGGTGGTTTATTGGAGATAAGAATCTCATGGAAGCCAGGCACTGGTGGCTCACACCTGTAATCCTAGCTACTCAGGAGGCTGAGATCTGAGGATCTCGGTTCAAAGCCAGCCCAGGCAGGAAGATCTGTGAGACTCATATCTCCAATAAACCACTAGAAAACTGGAAGTGGCACTGTGGCTCAAGCGGTAGAGTGCTCGCCTTGAGCTGAAGAGCACAGGGATAGTGCCCAGGCCCAGAGTTCGAGCCCCATGACCAAAAAAAAAGAATCTCATGGACTTTCTTGCCCGGGCAGGCTTTGAACCATGATCCTCAGATCTCAGCCTCCTAAGTAGCTAGGATTACAGGTGTGAGCCACTGGCACTTGGCACTTATAATCTTATTTTTGCCTCACAATCTTCTTTTCCATTTTCTGAAAAATTTGTCTTATGTTATACTTGTGCATATATGTATATATAACATATATGTAATATATTAAAATTATATACACACATCCTTAAGTCTTGGTTTTGAATGAATTTTTGGTATAGCTCTAAAAATACCAATCTGTGATTATCTCCACAAAATTTATTAAATAGTACTTCTTTTTTGTTTTAGAAGACTGTGCATATGATGCTTTTATACTATGAGTTGTTTCTTAAGAAAAATTTATGGAGATGAACATCGGGAAGCTGGAACTTGAAGTGTCAGAGGGTGAGGCCAAGGGGAGGAGGAGATGAATGAAGAGAGGAAGATCAGGCAGATGCAGCCATAAAATTCAGTGTACATATGTGAAAAGGGAACTAGAAAAATTGAAGCTGGGTCAGGTTAGGAGAGATAGGGGAGAATGATGGAAGGGGTGACATTAATCAAGAATGTTGAATTGGAACCCCTTTGTACAACTACTTGAAGATAATCAAAAAAGAAAGAGTCATGAAGCTTAGGTAGAAAAGTATTAAAATGTGCTAGTTCTGGGTGGTAGGGTGGAACATGGTTATTTATTATGGAAATTTCTGTGCACTTCTAAATATTGGAAAATGTTCATAATGAAAAAGAAGACAAGTGAAAACAACAGATAAGGCAGAATAACCAGGCTTTGTAAACCTTAGAACACAGAAAATGCAGTCTGGGTGCTATTAACAGACTGGGCTGGACATGTCAGACTTTGCAGCCAGGCAGGTAAAATTAAAATGCTAGTTCTACCCCTTATGCCCCCAGGTAAGTCCCTTAACCTGTGTGGGTCTCAGTTTTCTCAGCTGTAAAATCAAGACAGTAATAAGTGCTTTCTAGGATTATCATGAGGATTAAATATTTTGAGCTATGGAAAGCATTTAAAGTGAAACCTGGTACTTAATATATGCAAGTGTTAGCAGTCATTATTATTGTTTCCTTAGTGGTAGGATCGTTACATTTGCTACACATAATGCAATGTTTGGTGGCCATTTTAGATTTTACATAAATGATGTTACATGCAAAGCATGGGCCTGCTTGGCTTGCTCAACCCTCATCTACTTTTTTTCAGAGAAATGGCTCATTCTAAGGGAAGCCTTTCGTGGACGAACCCCTTCCATCCCTGCCTTGAGAACCCAGCACTGGACTTCTCAAGCCACCGAGCAGTTTCTTCCCTTGACCTTCTAGGAGACTTCAAACATTCCTTGAAGACAGCAGAAGAAACTTCTGTGTATGAGGAGGACAGCCATCTGGCCTCCATGCCCCGCCCACTGCGCAGCCGAGCCTTCTCTGAAAGTCACATCAGCTTGGAGCCCCAAGGTGCCCGGGCTTGGGGTCAGCATCGCAAAGAGCCCTTTCCCAAAGCTGATGAGACTCAGCCAGATCCTCTAGGAGCCAGGAAGAAACCTTTTCCTCCTCCTCGCCCTCCTCCTCCCAACTGGGAGAAGTACAGGCTCTTCCGGGCAGCCCAGCAACAGAAGCAACAGAAGCAGCAGCAGATGCAGATGCAACTACAGCAGCAAGAAGAGGAGGAGGAGGAAGAGGAAGAAGAAGGAGGAAGAGAGGCGGGAGAAGAGGAGGAGGAGCTGCCTCCCCAGTATTTCAGTTCAGAAACCACTGGCTTGTGTGCTGTCAATCGCGAAGAAGCCCTGGAACAGCCAAAATCCCTGCGGCTTGGCGACCTGGAGACCTCAAGACGGGGTTCCCAAAGCTTCCCAGAGTCAGAGTCCTATGCTCCTCATTCCAGCAATCTCCTGCCTCCAGTAAGGGGCCACTCAGGATCTCAACCTGAGCAGGCCCACCCTCCTTGCTATTATGGCGCTGGTGGACTATGGAAGGCATCAGAGAAAGAAGCCATGAATTCCTCTAAGTAAGTGATTTTGAAAGATATTGGATCCATGCTAGGTGCTGGTGGCTCACTCCTGTAATTTAAGTTACTCAGGAGGCTGAGATCTGAGGATCAAAATTAGAAGTTAGCACAGACAGGAAAGTCCTGTGAGATTCTTATTTCCAGTTCACCACCAGAAAACCGGAAGTGGCACTCTGGCTCAAATGGTAGAGTACTACCCTTCAGCAAAAGAGCTCAGAGAATGCCCAGGCCCAGAGTTCAAGCCCCATGACAAAAGAAGATATTTGGATTCCTGAAGAGGAAGGCATTTTGATCTTGGGCTGCTCAGTTAAACTGCTTCCAGCCTCAGTTTCTGTACCTAGAAAATGGCCATGGTGCTACCAGCTCCACAGGGTGACTATTAGGATATGTAAAAACAGCCATATGTTGGGCATCAGTGGCCCACAGCTATAATTCTAGTTACTGAGGAGGCTGAGATTTAAGGATTGTGTTTCCAAATAGCCCAGGCAGGAAAGTCCTTGAGACTCTTATCTCCAATTAATCACCAAATCAGCTAGAACTGGAGCTGTAGTTCAAGTGGTAGAGTGCCAGCCTTGAGCGGAAAAAGCTGGAGGACAGTGCTCAGGCCTTGAGTTCAAGCCCTAACTGTGCATGCCTATGCAAGCGTGCTCTCTCTCTCTCTCTCTCTCTCACACACACACACACACACCTTGCTACTGTATCTTTTAAAAAAATTATTTAAAGGTGATTACAGAGGGGTTACTGTTATGTAAGTCAGGGTAATGAGTACATTTCTTTTTGAACAATGTTACCTCTTCCCTCATTTTCTCTTCCTTTTTTCCCTCCTGACCCTGGTCCCCCACAAGTTGTATAGTTCCTTTTCAACTTAGTGTCTAGTGAGTATCACTGCTGCATTTCTTCACCCTCTGTCCCACCATTTCTGTGCTTCCCCTTACCCTCCCCAAATCAGATAAACTATATCTTTTATTGACAGTCAACTTTTTTGCTTGGTTCAGTGGTTTTCTAGTCTGAGGTGCCAGATCCCAACATGGCTTCTCCTCAAGTTGTAGATGTAGCTGGCAAGCATGCTTACTGTGTCTAGGAGATATTTTCTGAAATGTAACTATGATTGTTATGTATCATAGCCAGGAGGAGAAGTGACCTACACATAGCACACATTTAACTAACATTTCAGAAGGCAGAGGGATAATTGGATGAGTATTTATTAAAGATTTACTATGTGCCAGACACTGTTAAGCTCTTTAGATCCATTATTTCATTAAATCATCCCAACAGACCTATTGGCCATTATTATCCCCATTTGACAGATGTGATAACTAAAGCTAAGCACAGTAAGGGACCAGCTAGCTCAGTATTACACAGCAAAGATTCAAAGGCAAATCTATTTGACTATAAAAACCCTGCTTGTTTTGCCTTCTTTGGCAGCCTCTTTCTGAGAGATTTTTTTTTTCTGGGAGGCCACCTTTTCAGGGTGCCTCTTTTTTTAGTGCCAGTACTGGAGCTTGAACTCAGGGCCTAGGCACTGTCCCTTAGCTTTTTGCCCAAGGCTGGTACTCTACCACTTGAGCCACAACTAAATTTCCAGCTTTCTGGTGGTTAATTGGAGATGAGTCTCATAAGCTTGCCTGCCTGGACTGGCTTTGAACTGCGATCCTCAGATCTCAGCCTCCTGAACAGCTAGGACTATAGGCATTAGCCACCAATGCCTAGCATCTGGGAACCTATCTGTGTCTCCTTTATGTGCCTCCATTCACCTGGGCACCTTGTTCACAATGAAGATAATTTCTGTTACTACAGATCTTGTAACTTGCTTTAGAGATATTTTTAAAGACTGGGATGACAGAAGAAACATTTGCCTGCAGCTCTGGCTTCTGACTGCAAAATCAACTGTAGGAGAGGGATGAAAAGAAGTATGGCTCAAGTGATAGCGTACTTGCCTAGTAAGGATGAGACATTGAGTTCAAACTCTAGTATCCAGAAAAGAAAGAATAGAATAGAGAAGAGAAGAAAAGAAAAATTCAATCACAGACACTTCTATGCATGGTGGGGATTTAAGAAATAGCATCATTTCTGACACAGCTAGGTTGTTTTCAGCTAAGAATTCTTCTAAACACTTTCATGGACTGATCAACCCTGATTTACAATGGTTTATGTTCCAGGTTGTTGTTTTCTTTTGGGTTTGGCTGTAGTATAATACAGAAACCATATGTTGGGCACCAGTGGCTCACACCTATAATCTTAGCTACTCAGGAGGCTCAGATCTAAGGATTGTGTTTCCAAGCTAGCCCAGGGAGGAAAGTCTCGGAAGAGACATCTTATCTCCAATTAATCACCAGAACAGCTAGAAGTAGAGCATTCATTGGAAATTGTACCTTAACTTTAGGTTTTGATCTTGTCTTAGGCTAGTAAGATGCAATGCAGTACTCTTTCATGGTGCTGGGTAGCAGCTCTCAGCCCCATGAGTATGAAGTGGAAGTATTTCCACCATGTGCTGTGCTGCTAGTTGCCATGCATGGCAAATTATGTGGTATATTACATGCATCTGAATTTAGGATTTTTTTGCAATCCTGGGGTTTGAACTCCAGACCTAGGTGCTATCCTTGGGCATTTTTACTCAAAGCTAGTGCACTACTACTTGAACTACTGCTCCACTTCTGGCAATCCTCAAATCTCAGCCTCCTTAGTAACTAGTATTATGGGCATGAGCCACCAGTGCCCAGAAACTTAGGATCTTATCAACTCAGTGATAGTTTTTTTTAGGAGTGAACCCCAATCCGAGCTAAGAAGCATTATATCGATCAATTCATTCCTCATAACAAATGGATGAAATTTTTACAAGTAGTCTCCTCCATTTTTATATGAGAATAGTGAGGCCTAGGAGATAATCATGAGTTTCTCACAAGATCACGGATAACCAGAAGCTGGGAAGTCTAGTTTACTGTCCCTGCAGCGTTATTTCTGGATATCTTTTGTAGGCCCTAGAACACAAGGTCCTAACCAGAAGGAAACTTATTTTTGCAAGGAACAGTAGTTCTAGGGGAAAATAGATGAGCAGTCTTTTGAATCTAACATGCAAAGACATCTAAATTTCAGTCAAGTTAAACTAAAGTATCTCTCTATAACCCATGTACTATTCAGTTAAAAGTTCTGGAATATAGTAAAGGGAAATTTCATGGAATTATCAAATGTTGGTGAAATCTGATAACTGTCCATAAAGTGAGCTAGGCCAATACTACTTTCAGAGCTCTGTGGAAGGACTCTGATTATATTGTCATACTTCTATAAATCCCTTTCCTGTTCTGGAAAGAAGCCCTAAAACATGGTGCCTCATATGCTCCAATAGAATATGATGCAGGGCCATCTCTGCTGAAGGACTCAGTTTCTAATGGGGATATCATTATTTATTCTGTACAATTTCTCACTCAACGATCATGCATACCCTAAATGCTTTTCTTGTAAATAGAAATTTCCTAAGTTCAAATCTTCATAGTCCCTCCAGAATAGTCCTTCTCTGCTACCACAGATAGCATGTTAAGTTGCCAGGCTCTAGTGATTCATGCCTATAATCCTGGCCACTCAGGAGGCTGAGGTCTAAGGATCATGGTTCCAACTCAGCCCAGGCTGGAAAGTTTGTGAGACTCATCTCTAATTAACGAGCAAAAAAAAAGCTCAGAGTGGAGTGGCAGCTCAAATGAAGAGCACCAACCTTGAGTGAAAAAAGCCAAGGAAGAGTTAAAGTCCCTGAGTTCAAGCCCCAGTAATGGCATGTGTGCACATACACAATTTCAAGTTTTCCCTTTGTCAGTACTACATAATACATGCATTGTGGAATCAAGTTGCCCAGGTGGAAATCAGAAGTCTTCAGTGTAATGATTTTCCCTCTTGGAACCTTATTTTTTCTCATTTATGAAATGGTTATGATAAACACTTGATTATACATCTATATAGGTGCTCATCATGGTGTATGGGGAGGGAGTGTCTGTATACCTGTGTGGTATCTGCATTAGGTCACTTTCTGGGGCATGGTAAAGCACTATGTGAATGTTTGCTAATTTTGTACCTCTATTAGTGTTCTAAGCTTGAAACCCTACATGTAAAATGAATTTACTTAGGATGAAGAATATTGGCATGCCCAAGTGTCTTTTGTGTGATGAATTAGGAGACAGCATGGCATGAATCAGTAAATAGCTACAGAACCATTTAGCCATTATTTTTGACCTTTATCTAAGAGCTGAAAATAGCTGCAAAAATGACTAATGAGCTTCTTCTACTTTCCATTTCAGACAGCTCGAGGTTAGCAAAGGGGTAGTGACGGAAAGAGAATGTAAGGCGGGGGGGGGGGGCAGTACCCGCTCCCTTTCATAAACTCTGGCTGGAGTTATTTACCACACCGTCGTTGAAACTTGACTTTGTAACATTTCTATTTTACTTTCTTTCTTCTACCAGGCCTGAAGCTTCAATGGCAGAAGAAACCAAATCCAAGCCAGCATGGAACCAGAATTACTTCTTTCCTGGAGAGAAATTCTCTTGCACAGGCTGGAGCCCTGAGAAGCAGCACCTTGGCTCCACTGGCTTCAGTGAGCCCAAGACAACCAGGTCTGCTACTACATTTGTCAAACTCCTGAGTGTCATTGGTTTCATTGTTCCCCCATTTCATTCTACATCCATGCAGGAGGCTGGGACCATTAAAAATATGCCAGAAGTGGAGAGATGCCATCTCTTCTCAGATAGAGTTGCTGCCCTACACTAGGTAATATTAGAAGTGCTCATGAGAGATGTGATGGGCTGTGCTCAGTCCCTGGCAGGGATGCCCACCTCAGCCTATCACAAGGTGACCACTGCTGAGGGCATGGGTGACCTCTTTGCTGTGGTTGATCTGCAGTGGGAGAAACAACAGTGATTTGAAACAACAGTGGCATCAGGAAAGAAGAAAAGTTGAGAAGATCCAGAGAATGCCACAGAGTGCCTTTGTAAGCAAGCACCTTAGATAGAACCAGGGCAGGTGGTGGTTTGGAGTAGAAGTTAAGACCAATAGAGAAGGTCTCTGACACTTCTGAACTACTTACACAGCCTCTCCTCAGGGTAGCCATGAACCAAGGGGAATCATATGACCAAAAGCCTAGACATATTGGGGACTGCCAGATCTGAGTTTGAATAGGTTCAGATTAAATTATCTCGAGAAGTACCCCTAGCTGCTGAAGTCAGGAGCATAGAAATAGCCTTCTATACTCTTCAAGTTTGCCTTTTCTTGCCTTTTAGATAGCCTTCACGTGGCCTATTTATGTTTCAGCAGCACCTCCTGGTCCATTCCTTTACAACTACTTGATAAAGCAGGGTCACATACAGAAGGGGAAAGTAAGGAAGTAGAAAAGTCAGTAGTCTCTCAACAGAAGTGCTCAACTGGACATTTGTTTGTTTCTGCAGACAAGACTTTCAGCACTTCTCGCCTCCTCTAGGAGCCCCGGGGATCCCAACCTCTTATTCTGCTTATTACAATATTTCTGTAGCCAAGGCAGAGCTGCTGAACAAGTTAAAAGACCAACCTGAAATGGCAGAGATAGGCCTGGGAGAAGAGGAAGTTGACCATGAACTAGCTCAAAAAAAGGTAAAGTTTTGCAATGTCCTAGATATTTTTAATTTAAAGCTAACTGAATCTGGAGGGTGATCAGCTCCTCTACACCCTCTAGAACATCTGCTAGTCTTATATTTAATATGGAGATTAAATAGACTGTCTTCAATCATTTGGATATAATCAATAATCAGAATGGTAGTAGTACTCAAAGTAGTAATTTCTCTGATTCTTAGAAAAACAACCTTATGAGAAGGGGGGGGGAGAAAGAGAAAGAGAGAGACAGAGACAGAGAGAGACAGAGAGAAAGCTGGAGATCAAACTTAGAGTCTTGCACATGTTCTACTAGCAAGCCTGCCTGCCTGTCTGCCTTCTTTGCTTGCTTGCTTGCTTGCTTGCTTGCTTGCTTGCTTGCTTGCTTGCTTGCTTCCTTCCTTCCTTCCTTCCTTCCTACCTGCCTGCCTGCCTGCCTGCCTGCCTGCCTGCCTGCCTGCCTGCCTGCCTGCCTGCCTTCCTGCCTTCCTTCCTGCCTTTCTTCCTGACTTCCTTCCTGCCTTTCTTCCTGCCTTTCTTCTTGCCTTCCTTTCTTTCTTCCTTCATTTTTTCTTATTTGCTTACTATTTCTTATTCTCTTTTTACCTTATTACTTACTATTTTCTGGGGTTCAAGCCCAGGGCCTTTGACACATGAAAGATGGCTGAGATATACTTCCAGCCCTACAAGGCAGATATTACTATCCCTTCCTTTTTTTAACAAGTTGAAGGTACTAATTTTTCCAATGGCTCTATACTAAATGATAGATCCAGCCTTGAAGTCAAGACTGAAATTCTGTTCTACCATATTATCTCTCAGCATTCTGCTAGACTTATAAGTTACTGTACAAGCACATCCTTTTCTGCTACTGAGCTCTAGCCAATGGAAAGAGTGTTGATTTTTATTCTCTATGGAACTTTCTGCAGAAAGAACAGACTGACTACACTGAAAATAAGGAGAAAATATAGGCTAGTAGACGTTATTATTTATTTACAATGATGTTCAATTATCTTTTACAAAATAAGTAAATGGCAATGTTGTTGGTATTATTGTTGTGCTGAAGCCTTACTTTCTTCCTCTAAGTACCAGTAGCCTAGTTTTGTAATCAAGTTCCTGGAATCACTTTGCCTACCCCTGTGCACATACCCATTTTATCTTGTAAGCAAGTTGAGTTGTCATGGTAACTTCCAAGGCCCAAATTACCATTTTGTGGACATGTCAACTAAATGCCAAATTGCTCTCTGTTCATATTTCTTTTCTAAGGATGGGGCTGTAGGAAACCATCAGGCCATTTGCAAAAACCCTTCCTCCAATTCTCATCTGAAGCAAAATGTCAGGGAAAGAATTGGAAGCATATTGTGTTAGTATTGAAGTCTTTATTGATCCAAATGCACTTCCTTGGATCCCATATCCCTTGAGCACCTCAGGGCTGCCCCTTGCTTCCTCAAGGTCTGGCCTCTCAAGGGACAAACCTAACAGAAGTCTGGTTGCAAGAAGGGCAAGATAAATGGGACTATCAAAGAAAGATGGACAGAGTGATTTGACATAACTATGGGGTGAGTCAGGACAATTTGTGTGACTGAGAAAGAAAAAGGAGGAAGGTCACCAATGTGCAGTATCCCAGAAAAAATAAGTCAGCCCTGGATGAATCTGTGATGACTCCACAACTCTACTGACAGTGTCTACTCGAGGGCAGAGAGTCAGGTTGTAGAGCTCAGATGCTGAGAAACAAAGAGCTCTCTCTATGTCCATCCTTCCATCCATCCCCAGAGCATAGGCTCTAGGGTAAATGGGTGATATTCCAGGTGAGTTGTCCTTTGATCCTGGTGTTTAGTTTGGGATGGGAAAGCTGAAGGTAGTAAAGTAACTGGAAATCTCTGGACACCTAATTCTGTTTCCTCATTCATGTCACTGATCCCCAGTGGGCTTTGGGATTTCTCTTAAATCCAAATATATTATACTTCAGATTATAATCATGACAATCTTCTATCATCTTCGAATAGTTCTAAAATGTATCAACAGGCCCTGGAACCCAGAGAAAACTCTTAGTTCTGAATACCTTGCATATCTGAAACTGCTAGAGAGGAACACATTTCTAGAAAACTCCAACTCTGTGATACCAGAGTATCTAGGCTAAAGCAAACACTGATGCATACTTCGTACATATATGATAGTAATTCCAGTATGCAATTTGCATCCATTGTTATGCCTGCAAAACATTTGTGTTCCCAATGTATTAAGTAGTCTGAGTTGCATATACTAGATGTTTGCATAGCCCATGGGTACCACTCACTTATTTAATGCCAAGAACTTTAGTAGTAACTTGGAGATAACTACCTGACAGGGAGAGAAGGTGCATACCTAGAAAACTGGGATTGCCTGTACCTTACTCATGTTCCCTTCGTGTGTGTGGGGGGGGGGGGCGCATGCACGCTCACGCACGCATGTACGCGTACATGCATGTGTGTATGTGCACGCGCTGATCCTGGAGCTTGAACTTAAGGGGCCTGAGACCTATCTCAGAACTTTTTGCTCAAAGCTAGTGGTCTACCACTTGAGCTTCAGCCCCACTTCTGGCTTTTGGGGGATCAATTCACGATAAGAGTCTCATGGACATTCCTGCCTGGACTGGCTTCAAACTGTGATCCTCAGATCTTAGCTTTCTGAATAGTTAGGATTGCAGGCATCCCCTTGTTTTTAATGATGAAGGCAGAGTCATCCCTCTGTTACTTGGATCCCCAAACTGAGGTTAGAAGCACAGATCAGCTTCCATTTGTGCAATGAACATCCTTTGTCTTCTGTTTAACTCCTCTAGATACAGCTTATTGAAAGCATTGGCCGAAAACTCTCTGTCCTGCGGGAGGCCCAGCGAGGTCTAATGGAGGATATCAATGGGAATTCTGCCCTTGGAGAGGAGGTGGAGACCAACTTAAAAGCTGTCTGCAAATCTAATGAGTTTGAAAAATACCGCTTGTTTATTGGGGACCTAGACAAAGTGGTCAATCTGTTGCTGTCACTCTCTGGACGACTGGCACGGGTGGAGAATGCTCTCAACAGTATTGATTCAGGAGCCAACCAGGAAAAGGTAGAGTTGGGGAGTCTCTGTCGATGGGAATGGAGGGAAATGCCATCTTATTCTTCTTGGCCCTCTCTTGTTCATGTTTAGCTACTGGGGAGGCAAAATAACTTAAAGTTAATGTTATGAAAGATTTTAGGCCCCAGACCCAAACTTCTGGGATTTAGAGGTCAAGTCCAGTCACTGCAATTCATCAAATGAAGAAACAAGAGATGTCCAAGGAGAGAGAAAGAAGGTTTATCCCATGGCATGGAGATGTAGCAAGTGTAGCATCTCAAACCATCTTCCCAGTATAGCTTTTGGTTTAAGTAGGAGGAAGAATTGGGGGAGGGGAAATATATGCATAATTACTAATTACTTCCAGTCATAGGTGCGTTCCAGTGGCCACAATTGATCATAGATGGCAGCCAGAGATGGTCTGGCCGCTTACTGTGGCAGGATTGGTCAGGTGGGGCCTTGTTATAATAAGGCATTGATGCCTGGCAGGTGACTTTTATTGCCATCTTGAATTCTGGGATGAATGCAAAGTGGCTGCAGGAGAGAATGACTTAAAGCAAAGAACACAAGATACAAAATGGAGGCTGGGAATCCTAAATTTTATCTTTTCAGTTAATTTGTAGGCCAAGTAAGAAGTAAGTGATTTGTGGAAAAAGCAAAAAGCTTCTTACACTAAGAGTGTGAGCACTGGCTTTTTATTTTATTTATTTATTTATTTTGGTGCTGGTACTAGGGCTTAAACTCAGGGTCTTGACACTGCTCTTGAACTTTCTTCCTCAAGGCTAGTGATCTACCATTTGAGACACAGGTCCACTTCTGGCTTTTTGGTGGGTAATTGGAGATATGAATCTCACAGACTTTCCTCCCTGGTCTGGGTTTGAACTTCAATATTCGGATCTCAGATTCCTGAGTAGCTAGGATTACAAGTGTGAGCCACGGGTGCCCAGCTAGCATTGGCTTTTTAGTACCCTGATTTTCTGGCTCTACTGCTTATTAGGTGTGCAGCTATGTACAACTTATTTAACCTTGCTCTGTGTCCATTGCTTCATCTCTGAAACACTAGGCAAACAAACTACCTGCCTCATGGGCTTGTTATGAGGATTAAAATAGCCAACCAATGCTAAAATAAAACAGAGCCTAGAACAGGGTAAGAGTTTTTATTAAGCCAGTGCTAGCTGTCAGTAAAAGCAGCAGCAATTTTGCCTTTGTCTTGAGTTAGAAGGGGAGGATTTATCAAGTAGTTGAGCCAGGGATGCTCTCACTTTTATAGAGTGGCTCACTCTTCGTCCATTCTCCAACCATTACCTTTCCCTACAAATGACTTGGAATCCATACTAAGAGGCACATGTTCATATCCACACACAGTGGTTCATGCCTGTAATCCTAGCTATTCAGAAGGCTGACATGTGAGGATCGATGTTCAAAATCAGCCCAGGCAGAAAAGTCTGTATCATCAATTAGCCAGCAAAGAGCTGGAAGTGGAAGTGTGTCTCAAATGGCAGAGCCAGTCTTGAGAGAACAAACCAAGCAAGAGCATGAGGTCCTGAATTTAAGCCCTAGTACTAACATAAAAAGGAAGAAGGAGGGAGGGAAGAAGCAAGGAAGGAAAGAAAGAGAAGAAAGAAAGGAAGAAAAAAGAAAGGAAAGAAAGAGAAAGGAAGAAAGAAAGAGAGAGAGAAAGAAAGAAAGAAAGAGAAAGAAGGAAAGAAAGAAAAGAAAGACAGGGAAGAAGAGAGAGTAAAACATTACCATCATGCTGCTTGTTCATCAGATACATGGGACAAAGGCTGGTTTTGGCATAGCTTTCTTGCCCTACCAAACATGCTAGTGGTTCACATATTAAAGACAGTCTTAGCAATAGAAAGGTGATTGTCCACACCCATGTTACAATCACTTTCACACTTACCCCAGCTACAGGGAAAAAAAAAGCTGCTGCATGGAGGTGGACTTTTGAGAAGAAAAACTAGGAGACCAATTAGCAGAATGGATAGCAGCTTTGTGGCCACCTTCTCAGTGGGGCCTTGCTAGGCAGATACTTAGTACTTGACATAGCCTTTAATTTGGTCTTCTGCTTTCCCAGCTGGTGCTGATTGAGAAGAAGCAGCAGCTGACGAGCCAGTTGGCAGATGCCAAGGAGTTGAAGGAACATGTGGACCGCCGGGAGAAGTTGGTGTTTGGCATGGTCTCACGATACCTGCCTCAGGATCAGCTTCAAGATTACCAGCATTTTGTCAAGATGAAATCAGCTCTCATCATTGAACAGAGAGAGCTGGAGGAGAAGATCAAACTTGGGGAAGAGCAGCTCAAATGTCTCAGGGAGAGCCTACTCCTGGGGCCTAGCAATTTCTAGTCCAACCAGCAGGCTGCCATAGCATCCCAGTGGGAAATGCTTTCAATCTTCTGTCCAGCTATGTTAGCAAGTACATAGCAGTTAGATTGTTCCAGCCCTCTACTTTGGATGTCTCGCATGGTCTTTTTCCTAGCATTGCCCCCAAAGAGCTAGGAGACCTTGGAGAGGCACCAAGCTTCTACGCAAGGTAGCTGCTGCCTTGTGTGATCACTCAGCCACACTTTCCCACAGTAATGTGGGCCAGCATTTGCTGCCCACGGAACCAACCAAGTGCCTTTATTTTTCTCTGTATGAGGACACCAAAGACATCATGAACTTACCGCCCACCCACACCATAATCAGCTGCTTTCAGGCTCAGAGAGTAACTGCCTGTGCAGCTTCTGCTGCACCAGGGAGTCATGACCGCACTGTTAGCCACAGACAACCAGCTGACTTGTGGGCATTCACCTACCAGCATTTCAGGGCCTCATCCAAGCTTTGCAAGGGGACTGCATGGAACAGAATACAAACAAAATTGAGGTATCACCAGGTGAAGTGGCCAGGGGTAAATTGGTTCCAGTTCTACCTTTCCCCAGCAGCTAGTTGAAGAGAGCCCTGGCTGGGGTCTTGTTTCTCCTTCTGTCCTTGTATGGCATCACTTGGAGTTACAAGCATGTCCTCCATGGTTGCACACTAGGAACCTTTACTAGCTCAACTACAGTTGACTTCTGGATATAGGTTTCTTTTGGAGGATGGGAGTGGGGAGGGCTCTTATTATTATATTTGAAATGGCATCTCAATTTTTATTTATTTTTATGTTTTGATTGTTTTTGTTCTGTTTTGGTTTTTTTTTTCTTTTTAAACTAATATGGCAAGAAGAGGGAAGTTGGAGAGGGAAAAGTTAGCCCAGAAGGAAAGTGTTATCTGTAGTTTAGCCTCAATCCACCCTGTCTTAGGTAAGCAAGTGCCAAGGCATTAAATTCTTCCCACCATAACCACACGTGTCTTAAGAAAGGAGTTTTCCTATTGAACTGGCTCTGTACCTCTTGAAATCTGAGTGACCATGAGATTAGCATTCCTGAGCAAAGTTCAACTTTTTTTCCAAAGTATTTTTTGAAACCAAAGAAATCTAAAACTGACAACGGTCACTCCTTTCTCTACTGTCTCCAAACCATGGGATGAGTTGGAAGCAAACTCAGGAGGTCCTCTTCTAACAACAAACTGGTTTCTCAGCCTGTGGCCTGGATCATGGAACTAAAATTATGATGGTTGGGAATTATAGCCAGGGCCAGACCTGAGAGAAAATGATGAGCCAGCTATTAGACCCTCTTATCCTCAGGGGGTATATTTAAAGACCTTCCACTGGATGCCTGAACCAAACCTTATACTTACCACCACAACACTCAATCTGACAACTGAGAGGGTTGCTAAATGGTTAATGGGAGGATACCCCAAACAGCAAGTATACACTGAACAAAGGGATGACTCATGTTTTACAATTCATGTTCAAATTTGTTTCTAGGATAGAGCAAGATAGGGTCAAATTTCATCACACTACTCATAAAGGAACACAATTTAAAGCGTATACATTGCTTATCCATTTAATATTTTTACATCATGGTTTATCACCACAGGTAACTGAAACCATGGAAAGATGAGGTGTGTGTGTGCGGGGGGTGGATTACTGTACAAATAACTAAAGCTGCTGCTATTTCCTAGACCCTGACACTAGTAACCAGCTTCTATCCTGGAAAAGCACTCAGGTGGGCAATGGCAGGAGGGGATTGTAACCAAACTCTCTTCTGTTTTCTAGCTTAATTTCTTGTTTCTTGCTGAAGTGGGGCCTGTTCTTAGTGTTATACAACCCATCTAAATCCAGCATGGCCAAGCCCCACTCCAGTATCTCTTCTTGTTACTGCTAAGTTCCTCGGGGTCCTTGCAGGTTCACTGTAGTAGCAGGGGGACCTTATTCAAACCAAAGAATTTGTCAAGGAACTTTGCTGCTGCTACAAATACTGATCACTAGCTTCCATTTCCTCTACATTGTGTCTGAAAACAATAGGAGAATCTTGGCCAGCAGGGTGTCTGAGAGGTGTGGTAACCCTGTTTATGGGATTCTTGAGTATGCTTTTAGTACGGCCCTCACTGCTAGAACCACTGTTAGAACCCATTCTCCCCTGAAGTGGAAGATTCTAGAAAGACTAGTAGCTTGTAAAATACAACATTTACTCAAAGGAAGGATGAGGAAATGCAAGAGTGCTTTGAACATAGAATATAGTTGCTTAAAAAAAATAAACAGGTCCAGGACAAACAAGAAACAAAGTGAAATGTATGGGGGAAGAGACCAGTGTGTGCTATTGTCCTAAGATTTCTTTTGACTATAATATGGGAATTTGGGGGAATATGGGCCTAGTGAAAAGGGAAACTTCTTATGAGGACATCATGGCCATAATGTCAGTGTTTGTAGTCATGGTTAAATTGATGATACCTTAAGTTTATGATACCAAAAACATGATGAATTGCATGTGTCTGTGTATGTATGTATGTATGTATGTATTTATGTATGTATATATTGATGGGGGTGGGACTCAGTGTCTTGTGCATGCCAAGCAAGCACTCTACCACTGAGCTACAGCCCCAGCCCTAACTCTGGTATTATTGGCATTCGTCCCAACCTCAAATTCGTTTCTAGGGTTATAGTCACAACACAAAAATACTTAGTTTCCAAAACATTTAAAATATATTTTCAAGACTAGCTAGATGCTGGTGACTCATACCTGTAATCCTAGCTACTCAGGAAGCTGAGATCTGAAGATCGTAGATCAATGCCAGTCCAGCTAGAAAAAGTTAATGACATTCTTCAAGCTGCCGGTGTTACTTGTGCTAGTGCATCTCTTCCTATTCTGTTTCTAGGCTCAGGCCTTCCTCTAAGGCCTCTGAGGGCATAGCAGTTTGAAGGCAGGTTAAAGGATTTCTCCAAAGGGGAAATCCTTACATAAGCCCCATTGAGAAATAGTTAAGCAGGGAGGTAGGTAGCTAGAAAGAAGTGAGCAAGATTCCTATTATATGTTCCCTCATTCTTCCCCCACTTCCCAAACTGAATAATTGAGTCACCTTGAGACTCAATAGCTGGAGACTAAGGCAGGATATAGAAGTGCAATCTAAGAGAATAAGACAAACACTGAAATTAAAGCGCTAAAAAGGGAGAGATTAAATGTGGAGGAATGGAGAAAGGGTCAAAAGTCAAAAGCCTCTCTCGGGGCAATGTCAGATTATATTTTCTGTGTAACTTTATATGCCAAAAAAGCCACCCATGAGCACCAGAACCACGTCCTGAACCCCAGCTTCCCTGAAGGTGCTGCTGTGCCAGTAACAGGCCCTCGATGGAGGAATCTGGGTACATTCTGGCCATTTCCACCCATCGAAAGCTTGACAACTCCTGCTGTCTTTGCCAAGGGAGTTGTTGATGCCAATAATATTTCTGTAACAGCATATTATATAATTTGAAGATTAGTAGATCTTTAGGGGGGTGGGATGGGGCCATTTGTATAGATAAAGAACAAGTGTTTGTTGTACAACTTTGGGGGGGGCATTTATCCAATGTGAAGGTATTTTTTTTCCTAAATCTTATTGTTTCTGAATTTGTGTCCTCCACCATGCCCATCTTGGCTGACGTAGATATATGCCTGCCAGGTTGTCACCACGGGTCATACTTAAATAAAAGGTGCTAAGGACAAAAGGAATTGTCTCATGTGTTTTGACTTAGGTAATGGAAATCCCTTAATTTTTTTAAATGAGTTTTTTATTGTGAAAATACTGTACAGAGGGGTTACAATCACATGAGCAAGGTAATGAGTACATTTCTTATCAAGCATTGTTGCCTCCTCCTCCCTTAATATTTTATTAAAAAGCATTACAAAAGAATGGTGTCACCTATACATTTCTAAATCTTTATTCTGACCCCTTGGGGATAGTATTAATACCTATACCACTTATTTACCCAGTAAAAGAGTAGGGTCTCTTTTTTTTGTCAGTTGTGGGGCTTGAACTCTAGGCCTGGGCACTGTCCCTGAGCTCTTCAGCTCAAGGCAAATGCTCTACCTCTTTGATTCACAGCACCATTTCCAGTTTTCTTGTAGTTAATTGGAGATAAGAGTCTCATGGACTTTCCTTTCATAGACTTTCATGGACTTTCCTGGCCTAGCTTTGAACCGTGATCCTCAGATCTCAGCCTCCTGAGTAGCTAAGATTACAGGTGTGAGCTAGTGGTTTCTGGTGAATAGAGTCTTTTATAGTCTTTTTAAGGGTAACAACTTTTATGCATCTATTCAAGAACACTGTGAGTAAGGAACACAGAGTTATGCTATGGATTACCATAGGATTGAAGAACAGTATTTTCTTACTTAGGTACTCAGGAACACAAGCCCTATCCTATAATATATGTCTTATATATGTTATATCCTATATGTGTATCCTAACATCTATCTATCATCTATCTATCTATCTATCTATCTATCTATCTATCTATCTATCTATCTATCTATCTATCTATCTATCTATTCCAACATATCCTATAATCCTAGCCTGTAACACTAGCTACTCAGGAGGCTGAGATTGGAGTATCCCAGTATAAAGTCATCCTGGGCTGATAAATCAGTCTCTTCAATCAACAGCAGAAATCCAGAGGTGGAGATGTGGGTTGAATATTAGAGCTCCAGCACTGAGCAAAAAAAAGCCAAATAACAGCACCCAGGCCCTAGTTCATGCTCTAGTACAGGCACAAAAACAGTAATAATAATAATAATATAACCACAACAATAACAAGTATTGAGGAGAAAATGGAGTTCTCACATAAGGCTGATGGGGATGTACACTGATACAGAGAACCTGGAGAGCAGTTTCTCACAGCATTGAACAAAGTTTTCATATGCCTGTACCTCAAATAATTGAAAACAGGTGTTCAAACAAAAACATATATATGCTTTGGCCACAAAGTGGAAACAATCCAAATGTCCAATCAATTGAGGCGTAGATAAACGTACTGTGGTATATCACCACACTGAAATTTAATTCAGCCATAAAAATAAAGTACTGTCACAAATTACACATACAAATTACAAACCTTGGAAAAGGAGCCAGTAACAAAGGAGCACATGTGATTCACTTTTATTTATGCATGAAAACTGTTTCTTGCTGGGCACTGATGGTTCACCCTGCAATCTTAGCTACTCAGGAGGCTGAGATCTGAGGACCCAGGTTCAAAACCAGCCTGCACAGAAACATCTGTGAGACTTATCTCTAGTTACCCAGCAAAAAGCCAAAAGTGAAGGTATGGTTCAAGTAGTAAAGTGCCAGTCTTGGGGAAAAAAAAAGGTAAGGGAGACTACCTTGGCGACTACCTTGGCGTTGAGTTCAAACCTCATTATAGACAGACAGTCACACACACACACACACACACACACACACACACACACACACACACACACGGAACTTTCTTGTTTCCATCAATCTCATTTTTTTTGTTGGTGGTGGCGGTTGTGAGGCTTGAATTCAGGGCTCGAGTGCTGTCCCTGAGCTCTTTTGTTCAGGGCTAGTGTTCTACCACTTGGAGCCATAGCTCTACTTCCAGTTTTTGAGCGGTTAATTGGAGATAAGAGTCTCACAAGGAGTTTTCTGCCCAGGCTGGCTTTGAACTGTGATCTTCAGATCTTAGCCTTCCGAGTAGCTAGGATTACTGGTATGAGCCACCAGCAACCAGCTCAATTTCATTCTTATTCTTAATTGATGGTGAGCATGTAGTGTATTCTCAAACTTGAATGGTACAATACTCAAAACCTTTTAATTGGTGGAGGGGCTTATCATTACCTTTTCCCCTCACAGACTTGATAAACTCATAAACACAAGGAAAGAGACTGGTCAGCCTGGTGTCATGACTTCAGTGGGAATAATAGGACTGGGACCTGTGGGGAGGAGGAACTATCTTTCTGGGCATGTCAAAGGATAGATTAGTAGTAAATTGGTAGGTAGTAACTTCGGCTTATTAGGCAAACACAACAGGCTTTAAATGCTGACTGACCCAACTTGCTGTGTCTTCTTAAAGTTATGTGATTTTCTCATCCTTAATCTCTTCATGTGTAGAAATACAACTTGCGTTTTATTAAGAAGACTAAATGGAAAATTTATATTAAGTGAAGTAAGCCAGGCCCAAAGAAACATAGGTCCCATGGTTTCCCTTATTTGCAATAACTAGTATATGTCTGAGTCAAGAAGAAAGGGTCAGATAAGTTGATGTTAGGGGAATGAATCCCAAGATTCATTCAAGTGGTTTTTTTTTTCTTTCATGCAATTGTTTCTAACATATTTATAAGATGATTTCTATGTTGCTTTGTATGTCCCTCCCCCACGGTATAACCCCTGCTTTCACTGTATTTGATGTTGATATAATTTGTGGAGGGGAAGGGTGAAAACAAATCATTTAACTAGGGATACAGGTGGACCCATTGCAACAATGAGATGTACAAGTCATTATGTCGAAAAACCAACTTCACAACTTTGGTAGGGGGGGGGGAGGATCGGGTGGGGGGAGGTGGGGGAAATATGGGAAGGGAGGGGAAGGGGAAACAAAGAGGAGGCAACAATGCTTGATAAGAAATGTACTCATTATCTTGCCCATGTAATTGTAACTCCTCTGTATGGTATTCTCACAATAAAAAATTAAAATTAAAATTAAAAAAAAAGAAGACTAAATGGGATAATTCCCATAAAGCTCTTCAAGCAATGCTTGCCATTTAGTTATTTTTTTGTTTTAATTTATTTTATTCTATGCCGATCCTGGGGCTTGAAGTCAGACCCTAGGTGCTCTCTCTGAGCCTTTTTGCCACAGCTCTACTTCTGCAGTTTTGGGGTTGCGATTTTTTTTTAGTTGTCTTTGTTTCTGTTTGTTTGTGGGAGGGTTGTGTAACTAATTGGAAATAAGAGTCTCACAGACTTTTCTGGCTTCGAAACACTATTTTCAGATCTTAGTCTCCTGAGTAGCTAGGATTAGAGGCGTGAGCTACCAGC